AAAAAATATATTTTTTAAATTTTTAACCAAAACATTAAAATATGAAACAATTGGAGTTCTTATCCCTGTGAGTTTTATTGCAAAACCAGAATTTCGATACCACCATTATTTCGGGAGATATCGCAATGAGTAAATCCTCACGGGACACCCTCTATAATAAATTATTAGTATTTTTTCAATAAATAAAGTCAAAAGTMTTATGAAACAAAATAAAATTTAATTTTGTTTTCTGATATGATATTTTATGTTAATGCCAATATCAGAGCACTACTTAGATTGGCTTTAATTATACCAATCGACATTAAATAATTACTTTTAGATTTAAGGTACCTATAATTTATTTATAATACTCAAAATAAATTGAATATAAAAAAACAATATAAGCAAAAAAAAAAAAAATGAATTTATAATTTAGGTTAAGGGACCTCACTAAAGATAGCCCTGATCCCCAAAGTTCCTAAATACGGTTCTGATCAATATGATAAATGTATTAAAAAAATATGAATTTTGATAAATAATTTAAAATTATTATTAATACCTAATAATATACATTATAATATTATATACACTCTGCAATGATAGTCAAAAATGATTTCCTTATCACAACGATAAGAATTATTTAGCAAGCAAGATAATATTACAGATTATTTAATCTGTGATAATATTCTTTATTCTTTGATGAATTAACATATTTTATTATTGAAACGTAAAAAATATCAAAGCATAGTGTTGTTATTTACAAATTATAATATAGATAATCTATTCTATACAGCCCAAGTTAAAAGTTTACAACGTTTAATTTTAATAATTTTTAGTTATAACGTAATCTGCCGGTTTTTAAATTATGATATTTATTAGAAACTTTTATTCGTTTATTTTGTTACTAGTTTAATACCTATTTAAGGATTCATTTAAAATTATATTTGTTTCTTTTGATGTCAACATTATTTTAAATTTATTATGATGGAAGTATTAAAAAATCTTCATAAACCTTTTGATTTACTACCAGATGAAATGGTTGTGTATGCATTAAGCTTTGTTGATGCAGACACCCTTTTGGATTGTAGACTTGTGTGCAAAAGATGGCGAGAACTTATAGATGCATATGTATTTCAAGAAAAAGCTTCACGAGAAAATGAATTTGTGAATAATGGTCGAGGGTACTACAGTTTCTCTCAAATTGATTCCAATAGTGTCAGAAAATTAGATTTGCCGTGGTACGTGTTTCATGTTATATGCAAATATGATCCATTCAATAGAAATTTGGTGAAAAACCATTGTGGACAAAGTAAGTTAATGAATTGTAAAATAACCCCATTCTGATAAAAACTTACTCAAATACCCATAACAATTCTCATATTTAATATAGATGAATTCAAACATTGGAATATTACCAATGATCATAATTGGTGGACAATTGAACAAACACCACAAGGTGCACCTTTATTACCTGAAGATCCTGATTTTGATGGGCATACAAGCTGTTTCGTATCGACGTATCGCTTGTGTTCAAAAAGGCAAAAAATCACATTCAAAAATTATGGTTTAAATGATACTGTGATGAGACTTCTTCAACCTGAAATTTCAGTTAGTGAATGGTAATACATATAGGTATTTTARATATTTTCTTTACATCAACAATAAATAAAAATTACTTGCAGGTATACTGGTCGTTTTGATTGTGGTTGCAAATATGCATTGAGGGCAACTGTTCATGATGGGAATGATAAGCTAATAGAACAACACAATTACAATGATGTTTTACCTCAGTGGGAGGCTAATATTTGGACAAAAGTTTGTACTATTTATTATTTTATATCATGTATTATTTTTGATATATATGAAAACATTTTGATAAAATTATTAATAAACATTATTTTTTAGGCTTCACATTCATTTAAAAATCAGAGCAATGCATCTCACTTAATACTTTATCATTCTGGAGTAGACACACAGTATTGGGCTGGTCATTATGGTACCAAAATATCTGGCTCTGTAGTTAAAATTATATTACCAATAAAATTTAAATGTGCTACCGAGTCTTAGATACATATTTTAATTATATGTGTTGGTATATAATTGTTAAAATATTTCTGTTAAAATTTAAAAGCAATGCAAAAATTAATAATTGTCTGTCACAAAAAATATGAATTTTTGTAACAAATTTATTGTTTTCTATAAATGATAATATATTAATATTGTTTATTAATTGTGTTGAATATTTATGAATTTAAAGATAAGAGAAGATAATATTTTATTATTATATTTATTTTAAAAACTTAAAATCTAGTCAGAAGTATTTTTCATAATATAGGGTCACCTGATTATTATGTTTTTATTTTATGAAATCTGGGACAACAAATTCCAACTTCATCTAATCATTATATTACTTTATATTGCCTTCTATTAGTTTTGATTAAAAAATGAACGTTTAAAATGTATCAAGCAAATTATAAAAATACTCAAATTTAATAATTATAGTTTATTCTAAAACATTATAACACTAATTTTAATGTTCAAATCACAATTACAACATTGAGTTCTGAAGAACTTTTTTAGGATACTGAGATTCAAGTTCCTAAACCAGTAAAACTTTTTACTCCATAAAATCTAAAACAAAAGACCACCCTATATAGTTATTAATTATCAATAATATAMATTTTCTAAAGAACCCATGGAATAAAATTATTGTTTATTGATTTATTTTTACAATTATATTTCTTATAATATTGGCATTGGATGTTGGCCAAATTATTTAATTAGTAAGATTTATTGTGATAATAATTTTAATTTAATTATTTATTCATAACATTTATATATTATATGTATTAATTTCAAAATACAAACATGTTGATGTTACGATTTTTTTTTATACTGTTTATCATAGATGTATTTATATAAGGTACCGATTGGCAATTGCTATAAGATTATGACAAAGATAAAAATGTATTTTATAGAAGTTAGATGTAAACTTTTCAATATTTTTAAAATAAATTGTTGATTTAATTTAATTTAAATTATTTACCTGTCTTTTCAATGTTCATTATGCATTATGCATTATGCATATATATCCACAAACTTAACGCCTATCTCAGAATCACACATCTCATTTTCCTTAAAAAAAACTGATAAAACAATAAGTACAGATTAATTCTGCACTGTTCATATTAGATATCTATGCACTARAGTACTAGATTAGTTTATGGGTATCAAGATTAGTCCCTTAATGATGCAAGACAACAACACACCAAAGTAAAATGGAGTTAACCATTAGTTAAAGGTTTAGCTACATAATTTTAAACAAATAAATTCAATCAAATTTTTCAGCCCTATGCCTAAGTATGTGGTTCTATTTTTTATTTACTTACATAATATATTTGTAGTGAAAAAGTATGATATTATGCTTATTACTTTGTGTGTTTCTGTTGTTATTATTATCTGTTTGAATGTCCATAACAACCAACTTAGGTATACTCAATACACAATTTATACCTTGATACATTTTTTGTACGTTGTACCTATATCAGGTACCTTTTTTTTTGTCTGTAAAGTATATTTTATAATCACACAGCAATATATTCAACATCATTATTTTTAAATTTTTTTAGTGATCCCTGTTGAAATTATTAAATTCGTTAGTATGTCTGCCTTGGTTAACTAGGCCACATCTTGAAATATTTTATTAAATTTTTGAATAATCAACATTTTAAAATATTCTAACTAAATTTCAAAGAAGTATCCTGATCAATCTTAAGTAGTCATAATATTAACGAATTAAAATCAGTTTTCAGAAGTCTTATAAAGTTTAAAGTTTAGAATATTATCTAGGGCATCTTTTAGGCTTTTTATTATGTTTTAATTTTTAAGCAAGTTATGAGTATTTTGATGTGCAAACACAATTTACAATTAAAATACTATTTACATATATTACAAACACTCATAACTCGCTTTAAAATTAATTAAGCTTATGCCGTAGATAATAGTCTTAACTTTTAATTTTATAAAAGGTCAGTTCACTCTAATTTTTAAACTAACGGAGCTAAACGTGAACTGCTGTCTGCTGAGCATATGATTTATATTATGTTACACACTTGTAAGATGGAGAGTAGGCGGGGGAGGGTTCAATTTTTACACAACAGTGATTTACCTAGATTCTTCCATAAGTTTAACATGCAGAAAAAAATTTAAGTATTGATAGCTAATAGGTACCTGCTTATAGTAAATTTTTAAATATTTTAAATATTATACAATCAAAGATTTTTTAGAAAATTTCATACACCATTAAAATAATTTTTTAATTGCGTTAATATTTTGGAAGGTGRGGGGCTGCAGTGCATTTTTTCTAAGGGTGTTTAGGACAGTGTATTCTAACTTCTAAGTACCTACTACCTATGTATATTTTGCCATTTTGGTATATAGCCAGGGACTTATAAAGTGAAACTTTTTTAATGTATTTTTTAAGTTTTAATATATTTTTATAAACCTACCTATCTTATTTATTTTTTTAGTATATTTATACATTACCTTTTTGAGCTTTTTGTGTAAGATTAGTTGATTCGAATATTATAGCAACAAATTTTGTTTTTATATATCTTATTATAGGTACCTATATTGTTTGCCAAAATTCAACTTACCTGATCTTTTATCAGAGACTCGAGGGGTTAAATGTTTTTGTTAAAACAATATATTATGGTTTAGGTATAACTATTAATATTTTGTAGCTCAACAATTGTTTAATAGGATATCAGCACACTGTTGCAGGTTTAATGTTTCCTCTCTTTCACACAACCGCAACATAGAAAAAACACAGCAGGGTAATATTTTTGATGTTTTTTAATAAGTATAATATTTAATACAGTAAAATTGCGTATTATAAAAACGAAAGAGAATAATATTTTTGAGGGTATGACATATCGATTTGTCTAAATATTGTCAAAAAACAATTTAAATATCATTTAAATTTACAATTTTATTTTATTTTTGTTTAAGTGGAATACAAGTCAAATAGGTAATCATAAAATATAAGAACGATATATGTCATAGGTACCCTCAAACATATTAACCTCTTTAACTTTTACAGTAGGGGATTTTACTCTAAAATAACTTGAAAATCATATAAAAACATTTTAGGTGAAAGCGTTTCATCCATGTCGTGGGTAGGTCTGAGAGAGAAAACAAATACTGCGCTAACATCCTCTTAACATGTAGAAAATTAAGGAGTGGTATCTATATCAACAGTTTTATAAAATTCACTCTACGATATTGTACATAATATATTAAGATGTATATAAGTATGTATTAGGTATATATATATGTATATATGTATATATGGCATCAAAGTTTGAACATTATATATTAGTTATTATATAGTAGGTACCTATTTGATCTTCGTTAGGTATATAAATTATATTATACTTTATAGGTAAAAAGTTATACCTAGTTATTTAATATCTATAATCTATATCATAAAATCAAACTTTCTAGTTTTTAGACTTAACTAATCTATGACTTCATCTGGCATCATTTTTATGTTTCGGTGACATATAACTGATTTACCCATGTGAGATCGTCCGACCAATTAAGATATAACATAAATAGTAAGTTATATTTATACACTATAAATTACATTTTAGAATAGATATAATAATAATTGTACATAATACAAATGTCGAGTTATGACTCACTCAATCTTGTACATCTACCTATACACTTGTTAACTATTATATATTTCAAGTATGCAAATTGTACGAATTATTGATGATCTATTATTAATCTTGGTTCGAAATTATCTAGAACTCTTAGTCCAAGTCCAGACATTGCAATTTGTAATAATTTTTAGTATAGAACGTTTAAAATCTTAAGATTCATAATGCGTTTATGGCTTATCCTCGCGAATATTTCAAATTAGCGAAATMACAAAAATCTTTACACTGTACTCTATAATTCGTCCTATTTTAAAATATGATGRATCTATAATCTGGGATCCTTAAACTGTTTCTGATTCTGATCAACTTAAACATTACAAAGAAATATTTAAAATTTGTTTTGTTTTAGGCATTTCATATTTAGCTCAAATTGCTGAAAATTATTACCAACATCAATAACGTAGAATGTAGATACTATAGAACCTGTCCACTCTTGCTGAATGAAGAAGAATATTAAACTTAAAATGTATTCGTGGTTTAATAACTAACCTAATTGATTTTGTTTCTTGAGTTTTTGTTTAATTGATCTTTGTCATTCCAAATAAATTTTAAAGTCTCTTTACATACATATACATCATACATCTCGTTTTGACTAACATAAATTAATTACAAAATGAGCTTCTTATGTCACTTGCCAATATGAGGATCGAAGACCTCTTCATTGATRTTGATTTGTTTTAATGTTAAATTGTTACTACGTTAAATGTTTGTACTTTTGTTATTGTAATATATATAATGTATTAATGTATATCAGAACGATTAGGTATATACTACATAATGCCTTACCTATACTTATTTCTCAACATTTGAACATTAATAATTATTGTTATTTGACATTGATTTTCGTAAAACATTTAAATGCCCAACTAATATTATGGACGTACCTATATCAAGTGTGTGTTTACTGGATGAAAAAAATACCCATCTACATGTACAAATATTTTCTCAAAATCCAAAAAAAAATGATTTTTAAAATGTCAAGATGTGGGATTTGCCCCCTCCCCTATAAACCCACGTTAATATACTGAATGACATTGATGTTACATACTTTCATCGCAATAATTACGTTTATATCATGTAAACCCTACGTAGGCACTAGGCAATCATTTTCTGTTTATAGTTTTATACTTTATTCTTGGTGCACTTACTAATTTCATTTTTAATATATTATGATCGTTCTGTGCAATGTTCAAAATTTAACAGGAAAACTAATTTAACTTAAAATTAAACATAATTTTAGTTTTCTATGAGTAAAGAATGAATTATATAGCGTTAAAAACTATGGTGGTGTACAGATGTTATTCATCAAAATCATTACTGTTGTGTCATTTAAAATTGTATACGTATTGTAAGATTTTGCT